TTTTTGCACAATTTTATCGAACACAAATTGTCTTTGTATGTCAGGTTAACTCACTTTTGTTAATAAAGTCAACTTGCATTAACAACTTAAGGTGACTTAAGTTTGGATGTAAAGTACACTTGGCACAATGGAAACTTTGTCTGCAAAGTTGACATCAACAGCAAAACGTGCCTTGGAAAATTAATAATGTACAAAGACTACTTTTGTATGATTAAAGGGATAAACTTATGCAAAAATTTGCCTTGCTTTTTTAAGTAGATAACACCCCATCATTTCTATCAGTGTGATGTAAAAAGTACTGGGTAACAGGGAATAAAACAAAGTAGTGGAAAATACTTCCAAGTCAACTTCTATAAAAACAATGCTATACTTTAAAACAAAGATTTCATTAAACGAATAATAATTATAATCAAAGCCTGTATGCATTGTGATTGATGATAATGATGGATGAATTTCTTCTAATGTCTTGACACTTGGTTTTTAAAGTTTTGGGATTTTACAGTGTTTCCGTTTCTGCTGTGTGTATGTTGAGGCAGAAGGTAAGCATGGAGGTGAAGGGAATGTGGCCTGAGTAAAATGAATCCTAATGGTATATGACCTGTATTTACATATGAGCTTTTGTAGACAGGGGACTCCAAAGCTTTTTAGATTTAGTCATTCACACACTGATGGTGGAAAGAAAACTGATAGAAGCAAGGCTACTGTACACAGGCACCAGCGGGCACTCTGATCACAATCAGTAGGCAATGCAGATAAGGTATCTAAGGACAAAATGACTGAGCAGCGTTTAAACAGGCGACCCTTCAGTTGCAGGATGAACTCAAGCATCCTTCACCTCTGTTCAAATGGAAAACACCTTTTCTCAGAATAGAGAAGAACTTTTCCCTTTCTAAAAAAAGTTAATTTGACTCAAAATATCAACATTTTAGCTTGATGTTAAGCAAAAACAGCTGCTTTAAATGACAATGCTTTTAAATGTAAAAAATAAAATAAAATAAAAAAATCTTGTGCAGATGTAGGTTCCTCCGTATCCTCTGATTATCACACCAACGACCTTTCCCTCACCTCCCTTAGCGTTTAAGTTCCCTTTTGGCCATCTTACACTGCTGGATCTTACACTCTCCTTGCTGTCCTCTGCCATTGCAATGCTCTCCTTGTGCTCCAGCTTCGGTTTCTTATTGTAAATGTGTCTTTTGCTGCCATGAAATCCTTATATCCATCAGGCGGTGCAGTAGGTCCTGTCTGCAATTTCATCCACACAAACATGACATTTAGTCTCTATACCTTTACTCTCTGACCTCATTTATCATAACTGCTAATTTAACCACAATTAATCACAGAAAAAGTTCATTTTGATGAAATATTTAAATATTTTTTTATATTTTTCGGGACAATGCAAAATAAAGCAGTTTTACGTGTTAAGAACCCTTTTTGGGAGTATTTGGCACTCTAATGGCAATAACAGCAATTATGATTTAAATCTGATTAATAAAAAAAAGTGATATATGAATTTTACCACAAGGGGGCGCCACATCACCACTGTAAAGCAGTTTAACTTTAGCTTCTGTATAAAGGTAAGCATCTCTCCTTACATCAAATTCCCAAGAATGCCAAAAACCTTCATAAGAGAAGAACCAGAGGCTGACATTTGTTTCTGCGGAGTGTTGCACTGCAGGGATCCCAACGCCCTGAGAACCCTGAGCTTTGAAGAGCCAGACTGCTGAGGCTTGTTCTGCAGACACAATCAGCACATTGCTCCCAAGTGCAGCAATCTTACAAAGACTGGGGATTGCTGCTGCCCTGTTTGAATCTCAGCTGACAACAAGTGAGTGTTGCCTCTTGCTGCTCTTGTTTTCTTTCATGCCGTCTGTAGCAGAGCTTAGCCTCTCTCACAGAGGACTAAAAACATCAAATGGTTTCATGATGAACTTTTAACTTTATTTATTTAATAAATGTCTCTCTCTCTCTCTCTCTCTCTCTCTCTCTCAAACTGCTTCAATAACAGATACATTATTGCTAAAATATAGAGAATGACAATTACAGCTGGTAGCCATGAATTTTAGTCCTTATCTTTTTCTTAACATTTAATTTAAGGTCAGATTATAATCAGGATTCTTACAGTAAACTTCAAACTTGATCAAAGACGAGAAGCTAATGTGACTGGAGAATCACCTTTTTTATGCCCTATACTAACTACTGGTTGTCTTTAAGTTCTGACATGTGGAATGCAACATAGTCAATAAATTTCATTAGGGATATTTTGCATAAAAAGAAAACATGTTTGGGTTTTTTTTTATGGGGGTGACAGAGTTCCATCTACTTTAAAATGATAAAAAAACAAAACAAGATTATTCCCATTTATACATGAAAAGTAAATATCCTTTAAAGGCAAGGTCAAAATTCTAGTAAAATTACTATATTTATTTGGATTTGCAACATATTTTATCAGACTATTAAAACAAACAAAATTGAAGTATTCAATGGTGCTTAGTGATTCTACAGACCAAAACTAGTTTAGATTACCTGAACCCCCCCACCCCTCAAAAAATACAAATTTGTCAAATTTGTAATTTTCACGCTGATCAACTTTTAGAGCCATTCAAGAGATATGTAATGTCCAGACAATAGTTTTGATTCAAGTTTCAACTTGTATAAAATTAAATGAATGCAGGGGACATTACTTAATGATACCAGAGAAATATGAAAACAGAAATGAAGACAAATAGCATTAATAAAAATACCGAAATTATAAATTCTTCAAATTTTCTGCAACTAGCAAGAATTTATTTTTGCATATATTGAATCTTTAAATAGATAAAATGTAATAATTTCCAATGATCTCCTTTTTCTTTTTAAGGGATAACTAAACAGGTCGATAAAAGAGCTAAAAGAGCGATAAAAGAACCAGTCTTGTGATAATAGTTAGATAAAGACCTAAAGTCCCCTTCATATGGTAAGAATATGCTACACATTTTTGGCCAAAGGATTTTATGTTTGATATGTACAAAAATAAAAATAAAAAATTACACTTAACTTTCTCAACGATGTTTAGAATGTATGAGAGGATTTTCAGCATTAGTCAGTTGATTGTATTAAATTAAACAATATGTAGCCATTAATAGGTATGGAAATCTTTTTGCTAATGATGTTCAACATGGTCGCCTCTGGACTCAGTTTGTATTTCTCTTTGTTCTGTTTCCCTTGTGTATTATTCAAGGACACCCAGACTGAATTGGAGTCAGTCTTTCTTTTTATTTTCATTTCTTAAAAATTGTTAGGGCTTTCAAAGCCCTCTAAAAGCTTTTATGTTAACCCAGTATGTTTTGTGTTTTCTGAAATAATCTACCACTAGATTAGGAAGAATAACCCATGACCTACTGTATTTTACACAACAGGTAATACTAGTATTGTGTGTAGCCTTTAGTCACAAATATAACTGAGAGTAGCTAACTTTTTTAATGAACTTACTTGTTTTTATTGCAAAGAAAGAAAGAAAAATAAAGATATTAACCATATATATTTTTAATTAAGTTTTTATCTTGTCAAAGGGGTTCAGTTGATTTGTTTCATATGCAAAGCCAGTGTTTTCTTATGCTTACTCTGTGCACAAGACATGGGGCGCTCTATTCCTATCACTGGACATACAAATAAGCAATAAGAAGCCATTATACACCTGCAGAACTTCCATGTTTTCTCTTTACTCTGGAGCACTGGACCTCTCTATAATGGAATGGCCTCCTGGGCCAGCTGCGATATATGAAATGAATACAGCTTGAAAAGAGACAGTTGTAGTAAAAGTTCAAGTTGACTTTAATGATCAGACTAAAGTATGAATATTGAGTGTAGGGTAAAAAAAATATTTAAATCCCAAGTTGCATTATTTGACCACCTTGTATTTTATCTGAGGAGAAGCAGTTCAGTCTGATTGGGTGATAATTTCTGACCCAATGTTTGGTTAAAACCACCCAGCTTGTGTCCTAACGGAAAAAAATCCAGCGTTTTGAGTAAACAAACTCTTGCAGTTTTTAGAGTGTAGCTATAAACGCCCTAGAATGAGTCTGTGAGCAACGGGAGGAAAGAGGATGGAAAACAGCGGGAAGGTGCGAGCTGGCTGCTCGCCTGCTCCAGGTGGGTGCAGCGGGTTTAGCTCCATTCTCACAGAGCCAGGAGCCAAATTAACCTGACACGCACAACGATCCACAAGTACAATGTTTTCTTCATCTATATATTTTTAAATTTCAAGACAGAAAAAAGAGAAAAAAAAAACAAATTTTTGACATCTCTGAACAGAAGTACCGAAATAAAGGCAATAACTTTCTATTGAAACAGCTGGGAGTTCTCCGGTGCGCCTTTACGCACTCCGCCCCTCCCTCATACATACCACTGCACAAACTTGACAAACCACATGCTCTTTAAACGACAAAGGGGGGGGGGGGGGGGGGGGGGGGGGGGGGTATGTCTATATAAAAAAACCATATGAAAGCAGCTAATGAGTTAATCTAATGCCGTCATGGCCGAGGGGCTCAGAGTTATATATTTCTCTGCCAACCCACAAACGCCTATCTTGCACAAACATTTAACAGACCATCCTGTGTGAATGAAACTCAATACACTGCATTTCATTTCTATTTACTCTTTTACATAATGAAATGTTCACACTGTGTTCTGTACCAGAGTGTTATTGGCTTTAATCGCTTCTAAGGCTTCACATCTGTCTCTTTTTCAACAGGTTCAAATTAACCGTGCGCTCGTTATCCGACCCTCATCCAGCTGCTTGCAGGAAGCATGCAGACATCATTCTCGGTGTTGTTTGAAAAATGAGACGAATATATTTCATACTCACACAATTTTTTTTTACTGAGTAAATTACAGGTGAAATAAACCATGGGCAAACATTCCAGATTTGGGAATATTTAAAGCCCTTCCCCTCCCCTTCTTTGACCTCGCTCTCTTTCTCTCTTTTTGCGCTCGAACCGCCTGGTTTGGAGAGAAAATCTGGGATTGATTCTAATGGGAGTAGCCTATCCAGAGCTGCCTTTTTACAGATGGACATGCCGGAGAGCCTGCAGTTGGTCAGAGCGTCGGACGCGGATTGAGCTGCGTCCAAAGGCTCCCCACATTCCCCATTATCCTTTATTGTACCTTAAAGAGGCAAGTTTAGAAAGGAGGAAACTGTGGAGAAGACTGGAGAAATAAGCTCAAGCTTTACTGGTGATGACGGTTCTATCTAAAGAGGGACCCCTGAGCTCACGGCTGGTTACTGAGGTGAGTTTATTGGAGTATTTTTAGACGTTTAGTTTTTTGGGGGGTTTTAGAGCAAGCAGAGTTTTCCTTTAGCGCACCACTGGTTTTGTTGAAGGAGTAGAAATGTGACTGGGCGCAATCTGAAAGCTCACCTTTTGTTTCAAATTAAGGCAATCAGGGCTTTTTACATAATTAGAGATAGTAGAGGGTTGTGCACAAGTGCAGCATCCCTACGCAATAGGGAGCGAACAGTAGAGCCTACAGGTGATTAATACTTGATAACAGTATCACTGAAAAGTCAGCTTCTTGTATTAATAGGTCAAATTTATATATATATATATATATATATATATATATATATATATATATATATATATATATATATATATATTTGATGTCATTCTCATATTATAAATGACTAATGAAATGTCTGTCATATGCTCAGAAATATGCTGTTTACATTTCATGTGGATACACACCCAGTGCTTGTTTTATAAGGTTTCCTTTTTCATAAATCTGGCATCAATGAGGGTGGCATGGAGGTGACAAACCCAAAGTTATGTTGAGGGATTTATTTATTTTCTTAGCTCCTTCTTGCACCTATGGGACTTGGATCTTTGAATAAATCCAGATTCAAATTGAATCTAAAGATTCTATTAATCCATTAAGTTACATTCACCTTAGACCAGGTTAAGAGTTTCTGATTCTGTCCTTTAACACCAGAACTCCACCAATAGTAACCCATCGATCTAAAGCTCTTACCTTCAGCTTTGTTGCAGCTTACAGATTTGATGATTAGACTTTCATTTGGTCTGTTTTCTACTGATGACAGCAAATGCATTGTGTGTTGAAAAAATGGTAGCTTGGTATCAGTCTGTCATCTGGTTTAGAGTTAATATTTGTTGGTAAATAGAGATTTTTTTTAGTTAAAGAGGAAAACCTATTTCCTGTTTAGTCTTCAGACTAAAGACTTGTGGTTTACTGAGCTTTAAAGTGCTGATAAGCTTGATTTGGCAGCTATGGGAAAATCTGACGGAGAGGGAGTGCACAGATGTTGGAAATTTTTAAACGAAAAGGCAAAGGAGGCACAAAATGTGCAGGCAAAACCTGACCTCTTTATCGAAGAATAAATCTCTCATATGTAAATGGAATCAACAAAATATCAAGGAACAAACATGTTTCTTTTTCCTTTTCTCTTCAAAGAAGCACAGACAACTTTTTACTATTGACTAAGAAAAACAAATGCTCCACAAAAGGAATAAATAAACACAAAAAACTAATTCAGAAAAAAAACAACCTGAAATGACCATACAAGGCAGATTTCAGTCTTCAGCTTTAGGACAGTTTAAGGTGACGATTGTTGTCCTGGGCAGCAAAATGTCTCACAGAGAGACCCATATTTAGTATATCTGCACGCGTATTTATTAAAGAGAATATTTATATTCCATATTGTCCCATTAGATATGCTGGATTCCCTGACTCTGTCCATTTCTTTTCTCCTTATCAGATTCTTCTGCATTGTCTTCTTTCTTTACTTTGACACTTTAATCTTATCTTTATTACTTATTCTAACATCATTTTCCTCATCCTCACCTATTTCTTAAGCTGTTGGACTGTGATGACCTCCTTCACCTGAGACCTTCCTTATCATTCACCCTTCTTCTTTTCCTCTTATCTTACAGTATTTTCTTACTTTTCATTATGCATTTTTTCCTAAGAAAACAGAAAAATCTCCACTTTTAAATGTCATTTCCATTGTGTTCTGCAACATGTAAGAACTAATTTAGATAATCTAGCCCTAGACTTTATAGATAAATGTTTCTTTTACCCAATACCCATATATCAAAAGCTAAATGGAGCATGCTTTGAAAGTTACACTGATACATAAATACTGTGTTGTTTTAAAAGTACCCAAGCTGGATCAAGATTGTTGTTTTAGTTTCTTATGTCTAAGTTTCAAGTTTCTCCATAGCAACACTCTCAAATAAAAAATGTTATGTTCTTTAGTTATGATGGGCCCCACCCCTTACAAAACTACCTGTAGCCTCCATGGGAAGCTGGAGGTCAACGCTTCCCGTAGATATACCGTGAGTTTCAAATTTTTGCATGGTATTCACACTAAATGCCAACCAATTTAAACCCCACCTTATAAGGTGTTAATGTTTCCTATGTAAGCAAATAAAATGCTCTGTCTATAAAATACCCATTCATTGCAAAACAGAGGAGGAAACGTTTCCAGGGGCCTGGGACGCTGCCCTGACAGGAGACAATTATCCTACCAATAATGATTATCCTTCTCCTGTTTTCAATTCAGGAAGTGAAAGTGAGTACCTCGCTGATTGCTTATCTTAAGTGCCTCAATAGACTAAAGTATCCCCCCTTTGCGCACTGAATCAGTATCAGTCATTTGACCTAGTTCTTACTCTCAGCCCAAATGAAAGCAAACTATCCATGAAGAAATGGTTTTCAAGTCTCCTCGCTCTTCACTCTGTTTAGAGTGGCTGTGAAATGAGGTGTCTGAAGGTCATTGAACGGTGACGTGTTATCCTTGCTTTAGCAAATACATCATTATTTATAATTGCATTCCTCCTTGCTTTAAATGTGACAGTGTGAGGAATGCAGATGATGATCTGAAAGAAAAGAGAACAGCAGAATTTCTTGAGGGTCCCAGAAAAAATAGAGTATGTGCAGGAAAACAGTTTTCTCTTCCTGAGACAGGAAAGTCAACCCCATGCAATCGTAGCATCCCTTTGTGTCTCGCTTTTTTAGCATCTCTGTGCTTGAAGCTTGAAGTCACCCTGAAGTTCAGTGACACCCCCGCGCTTTGAGTGCAGTTTAAATATATGACTCAAGACAATTTAAAAGGTTCGACCTGGGCTTAGAATGTTTTCACTATTCTCACCCCAGCTGTCAAGAGTCACCGTATCAGACTCTAATTACAGAGAAAATACATGAGTCTGGGAGTACTAATTAGAGAAAACACGTTTTGTTATTTCTTCTCTGGATCGTTTCCATTCCTTAACTTTTTCTTGTATTTTTAGGGTAGTCTTTAAATGGAAGTGTGGTGAAAGAACCCCACTTTAGTCTGGCTCTCTTAAGTAGCCACATTGTTTGAGACAAACTAGGTGTTTGCTGAACCTTCCGGATGAAATATCGGTTGGCTTCCTGGTGTGGGAAGAGAATCAAGTGGAGAAGATTCACACGCTCTCTTCTGCCACTTCCTGCCCCCTACCGGGCCTTTATTTGTTAGTCACACATTTCGTCCAGATGAGGAAAGATCTGCACACGTGTGAGGTCCACATGTGTGTGCTGATGCCCTCATAGAGCAGAACCAGATCCAGTCACATCCGCAATTATGGAAAAGTTGGTTTCGGATGTAAGGAGTAGACCACCTGATTTGTTGGGAAGATCCTGGTGGAAGTAAGTACATGTTTCAGATCCGTGATAAAGTTTTATCCAAAACTGATACCAGTCTAAGCAAATTGTATAGAGCATGGAGGGATTTCACCAGCAATATTGTTCTGGTAGATCAGTAAACACTCAGGAAGACATTTTGGCCTTTTGCATCGGTCAGATCTGCTGTAAGGATTCAGCTGACAAATAAAAAAAGAAAGATTTTGTTGACAGAAAGCCAGATCCAGTTTGACTTAAAGTATAACTCAAGCAGTATAGAGCTCGCAGCAAACATTTGAAAGGTGATACTCTGGTCTGATGAGTTTAAAATTTAGCGTTTTCCACCCACAATCAAAGCACCATACAGTATATGTTGACAAACAATCACTTTTCACCATCTCCAGTGTGAAACAGCATCTCTTTGTTGGTCTGTTTCTCATTAAGGGGGGCGTAGAAGCTTGGATGATGGATAAAGGTAAATACAGGACCAGTCCAGAAGAACACCTGTCAAACACATCAGACTATTAGGCAGAGTTTCATCTTCCAGAGCGGCGACATTAAACATACAATCAGAGAAACAGTGAATTAATATAAATCAAAGCAGATTTATATGTTATATTGGCACAGTGAAATACCTAAAAACCTAAAAATTAAGCTAATTGATGATCTTTTAAGGCTTTAAAAATGCTCCCTGTCCAGTTGGAGGATATTTGGACCATTTTGCATAGAAGAATGATTAAAAAATATGAATGGACCTACAACAAAAAATTGTTCTATAAAGCAGTACTTCAGAGGAGCTGAATACATTAAACATGTTGCGCTATTTATAAAAAATTACTAAAATGGATATTAATTTCCTTCTGTTCACATGAATTGCTTGTGTTGGTTTATCACATATTGTCCAAAATTTTAGCCATGATTGTATAAACGAACAAGTGAGTTGACTTAGTTTTCACACATTAAGCATTATTTATACATACTTAAAATTTACAGGAAAAACATCAATCCATCCATTAATTTATCCATCTGTTTAAAAAAAAAATAAGAAGTACTAGAAATATATCCACATTGTTTGTTTGTTATTGTGATGTACAGAACCCTATAGTCACTTAATAAACTGATTTGTGGTTTTCTTCCCCTGCTAGTTCAAAGCAGGTCGGTGCTTTAGGCAATAGGATGGATCTTGCTCATAAGCTATGGGGGAAAAAAAGGACATTTTTACTTTTAAAGGGACTTTTTTTTTTTAGCCTTTTTTTCACCACAGAAAATCTTCAAAAGCTTTTAAATAGGATAGTTCACATCTATGTTTCCCATTCTCCCCATCCCTTAAAAAAAAACACTTCCTTACTTATCCACAAAAACCTCACCTACCTCTCAGGTCACACTGAGGATCTGCCCACATTCTTTGGCTAAGCTTTCTAGAGAAGACCTCATTTCACCCACATGTACTGAAAGTGGCACAAGTGGGATAATTTAGCGTCTTGCAATCCTTTGAATTTATTTATTATCTCTCTAACTCAGCCATCTGAAGGGTTTCTCATGACAGACTTTGGGAAGGAGTTTATGGCTCTGGCTGTCATCGCAGGGCTTTAAGTGTCATGACTTTCACAGGCGCATCTTGATGGCAC